TAGGTGGACTATTACTGCTTGAATTTTTAATGAAATAAAGAGTTAAAAGAAAAATATAATAATGAACTAAATTCTTCCATAAATGTATTCATTTTTTTTTTTAATATCTTGTGAAAATTAAAACAATTCATCGTTCCATTGTCGTTCCGCACCGTTTAAGTGAAATTGCAAAACTTTTATTTATATAATTATTCGTGTATTTAAAGAAATAACATTTTTAGTATTTTTATAGCAAATATAATTATTTCTTTGATTCAATTTTGGACTATGAACTCGCTAAAAATTAAATGGTTATTATATTGTTTAAATTACATTTTATGTAATGTATTCATCAAATACTATTAAAAAATTAGTTTGTAAACTATAACTATTGATTCAATTTTTTTTGTTTTTTTTGCGTTTGGTATTTTTGTTGTAGAGATCAAATTTTTTTTTGGTATAATTAAATAAACTTTTGTGTTAGTACCTGTAAGACAATTAACACTCATTCAATATGGTAATTTGAATATTACTATATTAGTGAGTATGTCAGACCTTGTTAACATGCATAGTGATAAATGTGATCTCATAATTTCAGATAATGAAAAATGCCTTTTAGACAACGCCGCTTGTCTATTAGCTGTTAGATTAGTTGGTATGGTTGGACTGGGAACTGTTCTATTTAATATGATATAGTGGACAGTTAAATTAAATGCTTGCTCGCCCGGACCTTAAAAAGAGGTTTTTGGAATTATTAGTGGCAGACCCTCATGTCCCCACCATCTGCCATCGTCCTACACATTACAGGTGGTGCGGTAGTTTTATTTAAAACTGCTGCTGTTCACAAAAATACACCCGAGGGTATTAGCAGTCCTATTGTTATTATCCCCTGTTACGTTTCGATATGCGCATATAGATTTTAAGGACATAATTTGGAAAATTTAAATTTTATCCCCAGGGAAATTTTGTTCGACGATAATATGACACATGAACTAAAATTGAAAGAAAATTTTGATGGTAACAACGTGCATGTTTGATTGAATGACCTGTGAAATGTATAATAATATACAGTATTGTTCATACTTAATGTCTGCCCAGTTTATAGAAATACCTTTCTGTATTGTCATATTATGATGTAAACCTTAAACACGAGTATAATAATGTATGTATATTTAAATAATAATATATTATCATTTATATATAAATATATATACTCGTAATTCAAGTTTAACTTTCTTCATTTACAAAATGCATCGTCGACTCAAACAATAAAGATTAGGAGTAAGAGTATTTTGACAATGTTTTAAAAAAATGTTATAAAGAACTTTTTTAAAGTAGTTCATATTGGGACTTATTTAAGAGTTTATTGCAAAAAAAAAAAAAAAAATTTTGATGACGAAAAATAATAAGAACATTGAAATAAAATGTATTTTTATACTAATGACGTTCTCTTAGTGTTTTTTTTTTTTAACATTTCCTTGTTGTCTTCGCGTATCTATTCGGTGATATTTTATAATCATTTATTTGTTTATTTAAAAAAAACGTGATTTTATGTTATTTTCGGTTGTAAAACTTGAGATATCTTGAGTATCTTTTAAAAGCATTACATAGCGTTTTAATCCACCACGTTTCCAGAGATACAACTAATGGTAGCGGATTTAACACATACTCATACATTTTGATAGGCCCCAAAAAGCAGAAGGTAGCATCTGCCTGAATGGTGGATGGGGTCAAAAAACGAATACTTTTGACATGTACTGTTTTTACGGTCCTTATCAATCTTATGCTTTAGAGCATGTGAGTCGGTGGTTTACCGTATGCGCCATTATTACTTTTAAAAGTAATTAAAGCCAGTGGGTGAGAGTCTCGTTGATGGATTGCCCGTCGGCAGATGGTCACCAATTTACGAGACACGTTTTCCTATTATCTGTGACCACAACCGAAACGGTTTAAAAACAATTAAAAAAAATGTGTATACATGTTATTATATAATAATACATTACATTAAAATTAAAAAACCCAAACAAACAAAATTATCGACATAATTTGTCGTGGGTTTTTTTTTTTCCATTTGAGTTGGATGTATTCAATTTCACGGCGCATCTAAACTCTTCATGGCTGGCTTACGCGTGGCTAAACACTGACTCTCATCATCGTCAGTGTACCGCAATCGATATAAAACAGTTTGAAATTTTTATGAAGACGAAAGATAAAAAAAAACCTATTCACAAACTTGCTAGAATGACTAGTGATGTGTTGGGACGCGGTGCTGTACGCGAGAGAATTTTGATATGAGCAATTTCGGAAAAGAATAAACGCACGTAAACACTGATTATATAGTTTTTTTTACGCTTTAAACAAAAAATAAATATACTATATTCCACAAGCTGATTTAAATTTTGGACATTTTATTCATCGAAATATTTATGAATTATTTATTTTATTATTTTATAAAATGTATAGTACCTATTATGGTATTATTATTTTATTTTGTGATCATACATTGCAAACATACATTCTTCAATATCATCTTGGAGAGTTGAATGTAATTTATAACATTATAAGTAAACACCAATTATTCGTGGTTATTTTTAGATAACTATAGCCGCACTAAATAGCTTGTTTTATGTATGATTTAATGACATTAATCATAATATTTAAATATATATATATATATAATTGCATAATGATTTTAGGTAAGTACACATATGTAATTTTAATTCACAATTTATTTTATTTTTATTTTTGTTTTTAAAATTTTATTTTTTTGTTATCTTGTGTTAAATAAATCTAAAATAAACAATTATGGTTTAATTTAAATTAGGTACTATCTTAGACTAGTAGTTGATGAGTTATGGAGAAGTAAAGTTTTTTGGGTTTCGCATCCCTTCTACACATAAACAAATATTCTTAGCCTCATAAATAGTATAACTATGAAAATGTAAATCATTTTTATGTAATAAATTTATATTTTATATTATTATGTATATAACTACATCGATTAAATCTAATCTCACAAAAATAATTACATTATTTCGTCAATGCTAAATTATATAACATGTATTTATGGAACGGTTTAATGATAGGAAAATTTAATTTAATTTGAGATTTACCTTCTATACTTTTAACAATTTATATGAATAAATATGAAACAAAATGAAGACTATTAAGTTAATTAAACGTATCAATTTAATTAATTAATATACCAATTTTAAATTTATTTTATTGAACATGCCATTTAAATGATACAATTTTTATTTTCACAGTAATTATTTCAATTCTGGTTCTAGTTTGGTAAAATTAAATTTATTTATCTTCTTGTGATTTATATTTATGAATTTTATTTATTATAAGTTTATTTGAAAATGGATTTATATTATGTATATAGCTTTTAAGTTATAAGAATTGGAAAATTTTTATTTAAACATATAAATTAACTCAAATTGCATTATTTGAATATGAAGAATATCTTAAAAAGGAGGTTAATTGTCGAAATGAATATAAAAATAATAAATTATACAAAACAGCTATGAAGGTGTAACAATATTTAATAAATATAATATCATACAATAAAATATGTTATGTTTACAATATGAAATTAATCAACACAACCTAAGAATTAGATTTTTTCTATTCCTCTAATTTTATATTATTTTATTATTTGATAATATTTAAATGTTTACAGGTATGAAAACTTTAAATTTATTGTAATACGATACAATTTTATCAATGATATTTATTTAAAAATATTTATTATTATTATTTATATAAAATATTTTAGATAGGTAACTACAAAATATATACAATAATGATACATACTTTGTTTTTTTACATAATATTTATTATCGGTCATCTCATTGTAAAAAGTATACGAGTACAAAAAAGAATTAACATTAATAAGTTATAATAGTAATTTTAACAATAACTAAATTTAAAATGTATTTATACGATGAGTTTGTTTGTTTTATCAATTGTAATAAAACTCTAATGGAAATCATTTAATAATATCTTTTTGAAAGTTGTAGTTTGCTTAAAACTAACCTTGCTCAAAAACAATGGAATTAAAAGTGGTTTTTGGTATTGTAAATTATGTTTGAAGAGGTAAAAATGAAATCTCTATGTAGTCTTGCGTGTATACACTGTAGATTTTGTAAATTATACAGAGTAAACAATATTGTCATTATAAAAAAGAACAACATAATATGAAAAACACGTACTTTTTATGTCATTCCTTTGAAGTCAACAAAGTGGTTTTGCCTAAAGCATAATATGATGTGGGGTGTTAAAATGCACACTTGCTGTTTTTTCTCTGAGAATAAAGTTCAACCACTAACAATAATAATTAATTTGTTTTTTTAGTTAATTAAGGGTTTTTTCATTAAAATTTGCCGATTTAAAATATTTGTTAAATAAAAATCAACTTTCATTGATGAACAACTCATCAACTCATTGAATTCATGTGTTGCTTATTGAACACTGCCGTATACGTACATTATTGATAGACCACAATATTGTAAATTTATTTAACAATATACACGTATTACACATACGATGCAAGTGTGGACATGAATTTAAGGTCCCAGCCAAATTAGCCGGTTGCACGTAATTTAGCGACCGCCGTGAGTGAGCTCATAATATCAGAGGTTTTGGCAAGATTGATGATGTCCCAGATGATCATCGTTTCCTTGTTAATGCCTCTGGCCTCAAATAGCAAATATATGAATGAGTGAGTGAGTGAGTGAGTGAGTGAGAGAGAGAGAATGATAGAAAAGGAGAGATAGATGGAAGAAATCTTCTCAGCCCTCGTTACCAAGTTATGTCTGGCGGAAAGTGGAAAAACCACCAAAATTAGAAACTTAACGGATTATGATATTACCTCAAATATAATGCTCATTCTATACTCGGTACATGACAAAAAATAAAAATATAAACATTATTATTTTTTATTGTGCAAAAACTTTCGTTATGGAATATAATGAAGATTCATGTAGTTTTAATTAATTTAATTTGATTCTAATTAGTTGCAGGTAGTGTAATAAAAAAAAAAATCGACGAACAACCAAAAACGTATTTTGAAAATGCGCCACAAAATGTGTTTGCGTCCGCAGGCCAAAACGTCTTACTGCCATGCCGGGTGAGGCATTTAAACGATAAAGTGGTAAGTGCACTTGATGTATCGTATAACATAAGCATATAATATAGCTATTAGCTACAATACATAATGCATAAAAAGTTGTTGATGTCTTTTTAAAGTGCAGTTATGACTGGATAACTGTTCTTGAAATTCTAATGATTTATTAAATGGAACAAATTTGCTATGCGATTTTTAATAAATAAACTTTATAGTTGTACGTTATTTAAAAGAATAATAATAGTCAAAAAGAGTCATTGCCATAGATTTTATACAACATGTATTATTGTATGGTACTATAGTATATTATATTTTTATCATGTCAACATTGTTGATTTATTATAAAACTTTATTTAAGTTATATATATATATATTTTTTTTTTGATTTATTTAGACAATTATTATTATTATCGACATAGTTTGATGGTTTTACAACAACTTTTTTTTATGAAGTGAAATCTTAGTAATAATTATAGTCACTGTTTATAAAACAGAATAAAAATATTATTATTATTATTATTATTATTACATTAATTATAGATTATTGAGCTAAGATAATGAATTTTAAATTTGTGAATTTGTATGGTTTTTACTACTTTAAAGTATCTATAAACTATTTAAGAATTAACAATGATAAAAATAAAAGTTTCTACCTAAAATTAAAATTAATTTTTACTTGTTTTCATTTTCATTTTATTATTTTATCATACACCCCCAAAAAGTTTCATAGAGTTATTGATATATAAATCATATGTAGTTTCATGGTGTATAATAATTATAAGTATCTTCTAATAAAGGAAATTACGTGAAATTCTAATTCAAAAATGTAGGATATTGAAAAATTAGAATAGGTTACTTTTACTAGGAAATATTAAAGATTATATCGTACTGTGCACACTTATACTAAAGACCATTAAGACCTATACAATATGCTGTAAATACATTAGTACATTACTAATGGTTGAAAACAATTATTAGAGTCTAGTAGTGTTTAAAAGGGTTTTCTGAATTCAAGTGATTTGAAGTGAACTCTTACTAGAAGAATGGTATAAAATAAAGTGGATAGATAATAAGGTAAATATAGTCTATACCTGTTTGTGATTTTGGATGTCTCTCGGCCTTTTTTGTGGAAATTTCTAAGACTTCGAGTGATTTTATATTCGGTATTTTAATATTGGAGATACAAATTGTACAACTCCTAAGTACAAGCATAAGCTGATTGTCAATTGACCAATATATACTTATCCATTTTAGTTTATTAGTTAATATATTTTACATGACATTTGTGTTTGAAGTTTAAAATTATATTATTACTTCCGAAACAAAAATAATAAGATTATTTCTAAAAATATTTTATTTTAACTGTAAGTTAAATATTAGGTTTGAAGACAAATAAACAACCAGATTAATAAAATACAATTTGGCATTTCTAGGTTTGAAAAAAAGTCAATATATAAATACATTTTTATAAATATTTGACAAATAAATTAGTATACGTGAACACTTTATAACTGTATTATTAATTAATTCTTTGATATTATTTTTAAGAACTCAAAAATAAAAGTAATGATGTAAAAAAAAACATTTGTTTGAATTTTATTTTCATTCATGAATTATTGCATTCATAATGTAGACTGTTCACCATTACAAACTTTTTTAGCATGTATAATTTATATTTTATGATGCACTTTAGGATAAGTTCGTTCTGTTACGAGTTCGGAATTCGGTGAAATCAAAGGAATAACAAATTATTCAGTGATTTAAATATGTATCTTCAATTTCATTAATATTATAAATGATAATTAAGTGCTTACAATAAAGTTTTAATAATAATATTATACATCTTTGCTTGATTTTAGAATATTTAATAAATATATTAAAATAGATTATGTTAATTATTTATAAATTAAAAATAAATAATAATAATGCTCAGAATTTTTATCTAAGAAAGAAATATTTATAAAATATTTATTTTGACATGTCATCAATTTCAGATTAATACCTTTAGTAGACCAAGAGTGGTATATTTGGTTGTGGGCCATCATCAATAGAGAAAACAAATTTTAGTTCTTTTTTTATTATTGTTTATACAAAGTTATAAAAATGTCCACATTTAATGAACACAACTTAATAATAATACTGTTAATAAATTAAATCAGTAGCGTTGAATTTTAAATTCTGACTGCATTTTGCAAAATAAAATTTCGGGGGCCTCTCAAAAAAATGCCATTAAGGTCCCGATTAACTTATTTTTATAAATAAAACAAATGTGCTATTAGCTAGATGTATAACTTGACTTTGTTTGGAAAAATATAAATTAGTAGGTATAAAATATGGCACTATATCGATGTATTTCGATTTAAGTGTAGGTAGGTACTTTAGTTTATAGACAAATCGGCAACGGTGTAGCTAATTTTGTGAACTAATTTAATCGAAATAGGCAATTCGCCAGTGACAGATTGGATGTAGCACTCGGTATATTTTTAAATATTATGGTTTAAACTATATTGTATATTTTTATGATAACTTTAAGAATAATTTTTGATATTTTTGTTAAGATCGGTTAGATATAGTTTTTAAGTTTATACACTACATTGTTTCATCAGTAATATCGTTATTGATTCATTAATTATTTATCTACACAATATGTGAATTAATTAATGATATTACTTTCATTAAGTTTATAGTAAAAATATTACCTTTATAAAACTATAAAATGTTATAGTTTGAACATGTTATTATTTTAATACTTATATATTAGTTGTCAAAAATAAGTAATTTCAGTTTAAATCTGTAAGTAGTTTCACTATAGGTACACCTCTTTAATAATGCGCCTGCTATGATGGGTATATTTATTATAATTTAATACATTTAAACACTCGAATATGAATTAATGTGTACTTTGTTTAATTAATTTTTACTTTATGGTCAAAATGATATCAATGATAACAAAAGTATTCGATAAAATAACAATTATTATTGTTTTTTTTTTTTATTTGACACTAGTTTTTTTGAGGAAATTTGTATAATTAATATTCTATAAATCGAGAATAAACGAAGAACGGCTTAGTAACGATATAGAAATATACATATTATAGGAACTATTTACTATTTTTACATGAATATTATATAGTATTATTTTTTTCTTTCTTTAGCTTATCTTAAAATATGACATTTTCACACTATAAAAGTGTAAATGACCTCTTAATAAAATTTAAAGTCGAACACATAATGATAGACTCTCCACGTACGTGAGCTCCTCCTTAATCCAAGCTTGCATGCTATTGGTTTAAATTATGATTGATGATACTATTATACATAATACATATAAATAGTAAATACCCTGCGATATTTAATATATTTTCTAGACGCATAAAAGATACATAATTAGATTTTAATTATCTACTTAATTATAGTAAATAAATAATTTGTTGGTTAAATTTTAAGAAAAAAAATGAAAATAAAAATATTTTGGTCGATAGTCGATTACCATTTAATAAAAGTATCTTTAACTGGGTATTTAATACAAACTGAATTTTATTGTGTCTTAAAAATAAACAACAATGTATGAACAAAATTTTTAAAAAAAAGGTAAGTAATTTGACTGGGCGCATAATTGACAATATGCTATTAGTACCTACATTTAGAATCAAACTCTTTCTGTGAAAAATATTTTATATTTAAAAAAAAAGGTGAGAGAAATTTATTTGCAGAAATATGTGCGAAATTTCATGCAATACGATCAAAGAAAACATGTCCTTTGATGTGAAATATTTTATCAGTAAATACAACAATAAGTGTTGTAAGAGTTTGTAAAAAATATCTTTATTTATATTGTCATGTAAATATTATGTACATAAATACATAATAATTTAGGGAGCAAGAATATTTGTAATACATTTAAGTTTAATATCTAATTATATACATGCAATATAATGATAATATACTGCAAAGGTACCTATATTGTTCTTATTTCAATAAAATGAGTAGATTGTTTTACAAGTTTTTTTTATTAATGAATTACACATAAGTTTTAAAATTTATAATTTTATTGTTATTGATATATGGTACCTTATTACTTATTTTACATACTAAAATTTCGTTTTTAATATCCAATTAAAAGATAAAAAAACTACTCATATCAAGTATGTACCTACTATTAAAATGTATCAATATTTAATTTTTTTAATTTTATGAGTTAATAATTGTATATATATTATGATACACGTAGCTGATGTTTCACAGCATTGTTCGAGATGAATTAAATAATTCTAGCGGATCTACTTTGTCTTAAACTCTGTTAATATAATTTATAGAAATGTTTAACATATTAATTTGGTTAGTTTTGATCAAATATGAAATAGAAATCTAAACCATTATTGTGATGTACTTGGCTGTGGGTTTTTTACACACAATGCATACATAATCATTAAATTTATCAATGTTTTAGATAGATTATGATAACAAGACATATATAGTTGGTAAAAAATAGTATTAAAATTCAAAATTGTGATATTCTCTTCAACTGTAAAAATTTATCAGTTATTTTATTTAAAAAAAACTTAAAAACACTTAAATAAAGTACGCATATTATAAGATATAATATTTAATAATATTATTAATTTAATCTTATTACGTATTACGATCATTATTGAAATTAAACATTAACTAAATATCACGTTATAAAATTAAAACGATTAGGTATTTACATGACATAAACTATTGGATGATTCATGAATAAATAAAGTAGGTACACACATTTCTACACTATTTTAGTTATCTATAATATTATAAATATATACATGGAGGAATAGAAAGCTATAAAGTTTTTGTTCTGATGGAGTTTGAGTATTATTTATTTTATGTATATAAATATGTACATTATTGGTTAAACTTACATTATATATTTCAAAATATATCGAACAAATGATAAACTTTAGTAAGAAATAGGATAATCGCATGAAAAAAAATAAAATATATAGTTTATATATTATGATGGGTCTGCTTCAACTTACCCTAAAACAATA